CCGGCGCCGCGGGGTCCCTGACGGGCGCGGGGCCCCGGGCGCCGCCTCTGCCTCGCGCCCCGAGTGAAGGAATCGTCACATTCCCCTCAAGGCTTTCGGCCTCGCACGGCCTGCAGAAATACGTAGAATACAAGGAGCTGTGCCTGAATAATAAAGCATGCCTTTCTGCATAGAAATATCACTATTGCAGGCCCTCGCAGACAGCCACTCAGGAAAATTCTCCTTAGGGTGGGGGAAAAAAAAAGTAATAATAAAAACGTTAACTTTTTCCTTAAAAAGCATCTTCATTTAGAGCAGCATTGCTTGGCAAAATTCTCAATCAGTGGTAAGCACAGGCATGCCAGTGTGGCTGCCAGAGGAGCCTTCTGGGCAAATTCAGTGAAAACACCCTTTAAAGCAATACCCCAAACTCTCAACCCTCCTCACCATGCACTTCATTCCTGTGCTTTGCTTCTCTGGAAAAGTATATAGGTTTCATGTGAAAGCAAGCCTTGTAGCTTCCTGCAGGAATGTTTTTGGTTTTTTTCCCCCAGGATTAACCTAGTCCCTTTTAACACCAGGGAAAAGGGAGAATTACAAGTCCAAAACACTTGGAAAGACATTCTTATTCATCCTTGCTAAAAGCACCTGTCTTCTATCCTGACAAGTGTTGTGACAACTGTGGCTTCCAATAGTTAATGAATTTTAAATGCAATATCTAATACAGCTAAAAAAATAGCTGGAGTGTCATTAAGGGAGAGCTGCCTTAAAAGAGAGCTGATGGGTGCTTAGAAACTGTCAGATCTCTAAATTTGCAGGCTGTTTTTAAAGCTCTACAGCTTGAAAAAATAAAGGGAGGAGAGAAGACCAAGGGTTGCTTTTCTTGTTTGGAAACTGCTGAAAGTGCTTTAAGAGAAACATTCAGTACACATGATTCATTAACAGACCAAATTCCCCAGATCAAAGCCATCCTGCTATCTGTGTTTATCAGAACAGAAGCATTTGACCTAATTTCACTGTTAATGTTACTGGAAAGCTGTAGCAGAACCAGTATGAAGCAGAAACCTTCCAGCCAAATCCAAAGAGAAAAATTCCTCAAAATTGATTTTAAGAGCAACATTTAACATTTACTTTACAAAGCAGGCTATGGAGATGATGAATTGGACGTGTTGCTTGTGGAAAACGCACATACCAAAAGCACTGAGTCTTATTCACTTTTCCAGGTCGATGTCCACCTAACTGCACTTTCACCGTAGATATGAATTACTCTCGGTTCCTCACCTCTGTGAGTGCAGCAAGAAAAGCCTCTCCAATAAGACTTCTAAGTGAGTACACTCCTGTGTTTAAAACAGCCTTTGAAGAGAACCATCCTGCCTCCTGCATCATGCTGAACACCAGAAAAAGTCAGGTGAAGCCATGCAGTAAGCTGACAAGTATTTACAAAGTCAGCTTAACTGCCTTGGCTTGTGTAAATTTGAGATGTCAAGCAGATACCAGGGTGAATGAAAATGAATAACCTTGAGCCATTTCAGAAACCCATCCAAACAGAAGTCACATTGTATAGAAGTAACATTCTATGTATCTGAAAAAATCTCTTTAGTGCCCCCTGAAGCTGAGCTTTTGGTCTAGCTTGCTACTGAATTTACACAGGCTGTTTAGGAACAACTGCTAATGACTTGAAGATCAGTCGCAGTCAAATGTTTTATCCCACATAAGTTATTTACCTTATTAATGTCCACATTTCCTCACACCAAAGTTACTAACACTATCTTATATAATCTTCCGAGTGACACAAGAGTTCAACTGTTTGCTTCTTTGCTCAATTAAAGCCTACAGAGACCTGACAGAATCAGAGCATGAAGCATACTGCTAGTTAAACCTTTACCAGGGGACAATTTCTTCTCTCAGCAAGGGGTTAGCATTTGCTGTTCTGTTTGAATGCACCATACAGGTACAGCTTAGTTGAGGTTAATTTAGTCTAGGAATTTTTTATGCACTTCCCCCCACAAGTGATGCATTGATATGCACTGTAATAAACATCAAGTAACTCGGCTTATGTGCAGAAAGGCACATGGTTTTGATGACATGGGAAGTCTTTGTACGAGATCAAGTCACAGACATGACACATTGCCAAACTGATATGAACGCCCTCCCTATGCTCAAGTTGACTTAATAACCCATGGAGAATCAACTTAATACCAGGAGTCTTTAAAGCAGAGGTAGTATCATCTGTTCTATCATATCTAGTATAAAAGCATTAAACCAGCATGGATTGTGAGCTATTAGACAATCAAGTGCCCTTTCCTGATTGAGCTCCATTCTGTGCTACCAGCAGAGCAAAGATTGGATCTGAAGGATTATGAAACTGTGACATCAAAGCAAGAGTTGTCAACATTTTCTTCACAGTGCTGTATTTACACAGCGCCACTGCCACTAAAGCTGTGCTGCCAGAAATACTCCCACTCTTACAAAAACGGCTGTCATAGATATTACTAGTTTAAGGCCACACCACTGCCACATCAGCTACAACAAGACTGAATATAAAAACAAAGCCAATCATTTGAAATATCAATCTAAAGAGAATATCATTAAGATAAATTCTTGAAACAAAGGTGTAAGTTATTGAAAGTTTGTGCTAATAGAAGAGCAATTCTTACAGGTAAAACTATTTAAAAATTTATTTTAAAACAAAGCTTCTTCCTAACAAAGATGATTTTATTAACATCTATTCAGTCCAAGTAGAAAGACAAGTTTAAAAGCTATCATTCTTTTCAAGTTGTAACTTGGATAAATATTAAAAAGTGCAAATGGAACAAGCTACCTCTAGCTCATTTTTTTTTACTGAACTAACAAATGTGCCTGTTGCAATAATCAAATTCTAATCAGTCTTTTTCCTTCTACTCTAGCTGAACTGATGCAAAGGTCTCCTCCATCACTCATCTCCCTGGCTGGAGGAGCCCCAAACCCTAACACTTTCCCATTTAAGAAGGCTACCGTGGTCATTGAAAATGGAACTGCTGTTTTTCCCATTTAAGAAGGCTACCGTGGTCATTGAACATGGAGCTGCTGTTGAGATTGGGGAAGAGCTGATGAAGAGGGCTCTCCAGTACTCCACCTCAGCAGGGTACCTGTCAAGGCAGCTTACACCTCAAGATATCACCAAATGATAAAATCCTTATTATTATAATTGATCTTTACAATAAAAAAGTTTATTTTCCCTCTATACTTACATTTCAGTTTCAAGTAGAAAGTTCTGAGCAGATGAAAAATTTTAAATTCCGAGTATTCATTTCTTATCAAGCCAGAGCATTCTGTGGCTGTTAGTATTTCAGAAGCCAGACTCCAGGATCATTAAGTAACAGTGATACTTCTTAGTAAGATACTCATTAAATGATACAGCATTGCAGTACATAGTTCTGGCATTTAAATATTCATTTAGATCTTATTTGGTACAATATATTACAAAAAATGCAGTTTGTAAGTAAACCGATACATATATATACATATATATATATACATATGGTATTGCCATGGTTAATACAAAAAAAAAATCATACATCAATGAAGTTACTTTAGCCCTTGACTTCTGAGTTGACAGTATTGAGTCAGCTCTGTGACAGGTTGCAAAAAATATTTAGATGGACACAGTGAACTCAAACCTTTCTCATATTTTAATAGAATACAGCCTAGGTACCCAGTCACTTCAGAATTTCCTTCGAAGTCTTACCAACTTGCAAAACCTGCTTCCAAACTCTTTATTTACATGCAGCCTATGCTGAATAAGTCCACCCTATTAAGTCTGGAGAGATCATTCCTAGGAGTGAATATTGTTCAGCCTTCATCCCCAGCAGCCTCCCTCCCTGGTGAATCATTTCTGCCCAAAACTTGCAATGATAATTGAGTGTATTAATGGTAGATTCCTATCTCTTCTGCTTTTTCATAAAAGAAATGCTTATCATTTTTTACTATTTGATAGAGCAGTTACAAAATCATCATCTATGTATATTTGACAGTTCAGGAAGCTCTGTTCAGACTGCATGCCAAGTTTATCTGAATTAGAGGAGCAGTCTAGCCTCAGCCCATACAAGATACCAGGTGCAACTTAATTTATGTTTCAGGATTCCAGAACTGTTGTCTTGGCTAAGAAATTTTCAAAGGAATCTACATAATCCCCCCACAGCCAACTACAGTCCTGAGCAAGGACAAATGGAAGTGTGCATCACAACTGGCAGCCAGGAAGGCTTATGTAAGGTAAGACAAAAAAAAAAAAAAAAAAAAAAAAAAAAAAAAAAAAACCACACAACCACTTGTTTAGGGGTTTTTTTTTTTTTTTTTTTTTTTTTTTTGGGAGAAGGAGTTGTATTCTTTTCAGTCAGGTGAGTTATACCCAGCATAAATGGCACTATAACTTGCAGAGTAGTTTAAATGTCTCAGCATATTATTGATAGAAGATAGTAGAGTTCAAATAAAATTGTTGCAACAGTCTCATCTGTCAAGGCTACGTGAATGGATAAAAATCTAAAAGCTTCTCAGAATATATCATAGGATAACATTTCCTATTACTCATAGGCTACTAAGTATGTTGATGTGTTATTTGATTTGCCATAACTCAATTCTCATTATGTTAAACTGCTTTAGAAAGTAGCCCGTTTCAGCCCATTGATACTGCTGCTTGGCAAGCAACTGAAGCACTGTTTCTTTTGTATGATATTAGAGAGCTGTCTGCCTTTTCAAATTGGCATTCTCTAGCTGATTATCTAACTCCATTTAGCTTCTAAAATAGAGTTTTAATCCACTCATTGTTTTCCTAGCAGACAGCATAGTTAATTAAATGGTTATGGAAATGCTTATATGTAATTGGAATTTATAATTCCATTAGGAAGTCAGAAGCATGATGCAAGAATGGCACAATCTTCCTAACACACAGTTTTCTTTCATAGGTGTTTGAAATGCTCATTAATCCTGGGGACAATATCCTTTTGGATGCACCTACATATGCTGGGACACTAGCAGCTGTAAGTAATCCTTAAAAACAAAATATTGCACATGTCACATTTGAAATAAACAGAATTTGGTACATAGTCTGCAGGTATATACATATTGTATTTACTGCAAAAATGTATCCAAGAATAAAGTTCTAATTTTTCTCATGAAGTTCATAAAGATTAATTCATATAAGCTCCAGTGTTCTATAAAAGCTATTCCTAGAACACAAGCTCCACTTCTTATCCCTGGCCCATTCTAAGGCTAAGATCACATTTGAGATTGGAGATAGAAAGCCATCACGACCAAGTTAGGTTTGAAGCAGTTTTGAAACAAGTAGATATTTGAGCATGTCAGCCTGCCCATTTGAAACATGATCCAGTTGTACTGTACCTATAACAACATAACATGGGAAGAGACCTGAAACATCCAAGTATGAGTTTTATGATGCAAGTTACTAAGAACTATACAAAAACAGCAATGTTTACTTCTAAAAGGCAATTTAGTTATATGTAGTTGAATGTAGACTCAAAATGTGTGACAATTTGAAGGATTACAATAGGCAATGCACCACTATTTCAGTTTTTTTTCCCCCCATGCAGCAAAAGCCATCTCAGTAATGTTGGCTGTTGAGTACATCTTTCACTAAAGATACTGCATTAAAAACTTTTCACTTTTCTTACTGCAGCAACTTGCATTTTACTTAAAAATGTAGGCCTACCTGGTGCTAATAGAAATTCCACAGAGGAGACTCTGCTTTTGTTAATTTTTTCCTATTTCTTTACACATGGTGTCAACATGTCACTGTAGTAACAACATTTAATTCTTCTTTGTATTGCTGAATGTATCTAGTGAACAGATTCTTCACTCTTTGTCAGAAAAAAGTAGCTGGCAGCTGCACTGAACAAGAGCATAAACTATCAATAAGAAAGGAAAATGCAGGGAACTTTGTGTTCAAAGCATAAGTCCTGGCTGAGCACAGACCACAGATTCCTGAACTGCTTTTCCAATTGCAAAGCCACGTGCTCTTTCCTAAAGAAGGATAGGAATTGGTCTTCAGAGTGACCCACTTGTGGGCTTAACCTGGCCAACAGAAGACACGGTGACAAATTGGACAAATTATAGAGCAAATTCAAGGAAACTTTTCACAGTAAATCAAGATTGAGACAGCAATAATAATTACTTGTATGTCTATATTTTTAGAAGGACTTTGTATCACTGAAATTTTGCCATATTAATGACAAAATGAAGATTTTAGAATTATAGGATCGTGACAATTTTGTTCCTCCCTATCAACAGCTGAGACCTTTGGGTTGTAACATAATTAATGTTCCTAGTGACCAGCATGGCATTATTCCAAAAGCTCTGAAGGAAATTCTATCTGCATGGAGCCCAGAAGACATAGAAAAATGTAGCCGCAATATTCCTAAATTCCTGTATACTATCCCAAATGGTTGCAACCCAACTGGAAACTCTCTGACCACAGAGCGCAAGAAGGAGATATACCAGGTACGTAGCCGAGGCCCGACACATCCTGTACATGGAAACAACCAAGTCTCACTTCAGTTGAGGGTACCTTACATGTGTCCTTTTAGCCTGTTACTTATTCTTGCCAGTGCTTGTTTCTAGCAGAAACTTTCATGACAAGTCTTCAGAGGTAGTTTATGCGTTAGATATTTTTCTTGCCATAGTAGCCCATTCCTAGCTGGTATCTTTCCCATGAGCTTCAAATGGGGCTTATTGCATGTGTCCTGCAAAAAGCACTACATGGAGCAGACCTTCACTTGTCCTCGTACTTACAAGTACTATGTTTCTCCTTATAATTGCTTGATACCCAACTCTGGCATTTGAAAGCTTCTCTTGATATGACCTTGTGTGTAGTGAATCAGCAATATGCAACATCCGAATATGGTCCTGGAAATACGTCCAGGATATGTGAACAGTTGAATTTACAGCACCTTTACTAAGTATTATCTTTATATTCATTTCTTTTTTTAGCTTGCAAGAAAATATGATTTCCTAATAATAGAAGATGATCCGTACTACTTTCTTCAGTTTCAAAAGGTAATTTTTTTTCCACATGTCTTAGTACATTCTCTTCCGGTACAGAAGAGGATTAGTGTTTGAGCCATGGTGTTCCTGCATGCCTTTCCTTTGTTTCTTGCCAAATTAATTGTAGGCCTAACAGTCATTTCATTTCTCTGGTACTTTCAGTTGTTGTGCCCTGTGAGAGATTTTCAGTTCAGTTCTGTTAACCACTACACTTCACATTTCTCAAGCATTATATGGTAAAAGTTTCCTTCGTTAGGCAGAAAACAACAAGGATTCAGTCTGCCTCCAGAACAAAACACATGCACCACAGAGGCAGCACTTCAAAGTAGCAGCCTCTTAATGTTCCTTTCAGTTTAGTCTCTTATTCCGCAGCTCCTCATTTGCCATATCCTATTTCCACCCATTTGTCTTATGGAGACACCAAGGGAGCTCCGCCATAGTCCACAGGAAGTAGCCCTGGACAGGCAGCTTCCCTTCTTCATGTAATTTTTCTCCAAGTGGATAATGATCTGGTGTTCAGCCATCTGCATATGTGGATCTACAGTTGCAAAGCCTGCTAAAGTATCTAATTTTGGGAGTAAAAGCAGGCCCTATAAGGCAGTGAAGTATTATTAGAAGCTAAAATGTATTATTTTCCGTTTTGAAAAAAGAACTTTTTGTGGGAGGAGGCAATAAAAGATGCTTTGTTTATAACCATCATTTGAAGTTTTGAGAGAATGGGAGGGGAGAAGGTATAAAGGAGACAGAATATCTGGTAAGAGTGTTGATCCCAATAAGATCCTCAAAATGAAGTGATATCTTCTGTTTTCTTTAAGATAAAGCTAAAGGCCAATGGGACTCATCCTTGTATCTTATATTATCTTTCTGCATAAGCCATAAAAAGCTTGGCAGAAAATGCATTATTTTTCCCTTCTGTTTATAGCATCACACCAAAACTTGAACTGAGCATTTGTGTGCAAAGCAGTGAGTAAAACAGCACAAAACAAGGCTGATTTTTGTTGACTCACAGAATGTTATCATCACATCCCAGAAAGCTAGTCTAAACCATCATCTGTCTGCAAGTTACTGCATTTGTCTTTTGAATGTTCTTCTGTAAAATATTTACCATCATAAAAATTACTTTAGTTAAGAAATAATCACATCTTCATAGTAAAGAAATTCCATCATAATTCTTACTAGCAACTTGAATTTTACTTTTTTTTTTTATTTTTCTTCAAAGCCATGGGCTCCATCTTTCCTTTCAATGGATGTGGATGGCCGAGTTATCAGGACTGACTCTTTCTCTAAAATTCTGTCATCGGGGTAAGGCCAGTTTCAGACTGCTCAGCATTGCCTGTCATTTCAGGCACAAGACTTAACACTACATACAAAATGATCAGATGTGCCGTACTTCTCAACTAATACCTAACCTACGCATTTCTGGAAATTACTTTCAGACCTGCAGCTCTGCTTCCTTTCCATGCCATTTCCTGGCAGTCACGTAACTCCAGAGTCCACTTCTCTTCTGATGCTCTTTCTTCAGTAACTCTCCCCAGAGCGCCCATTCCTACAGACACTGTACAGGCAGGAATATTGAGATGCCGGATTCCAGCTCTCTTCCTGGAATTTCTAAAAAGTTTGCTCTGTTATTACTTCCATTATCTTTTTTCTACTTCTTGTCTTTTTCCATTCCTGACAACTCTATTAGGCACTTTACAGCATAGAAGAAAAATGATGACCTCATTCTCCCCCATAACCTCTTCAGGGAGTTATACTGACCTCTCTTGTCTTCTAGCTTTACATTTCTTTCAATTTGTCTCCACTTGCCTGAAAAACTAAACTAGCTGTTTTCCACTTCATGAAAATCAACATATTTGATTTTTAACTTTCATTTATTTATTGTTCTAATAGATATGAGAAAGTAATGTGAATTCTACACTGCCAGCTAGTGGATTGTAACCCCTTTCCTGAGAAAGTGAGGAGACAATGTGATGTTTAGTTGCACTTTCAGAAGTGACCCTGCAGAGAAGGCATGATGCAATTTTATCTTTGTCAAAGACATATGAACTTACCAGTTCTATTTTTCTTCAAATAGAAGTATGAGTCATAATCTCTGAGTAAAGATGGGTTATAAGCATTGGAGCATGAATAAGATTAGTTAATCAGTATAAATTCCATTTATTCTGCACTGCTGAAAAGGAGTAAAAACAAGTACAAGCTCCCATCTGCTTTTTCATAAAGCCTGAGCATCCGTTATTTTTGATTATGGAAAAAAATCTTTCTTCCCTTTGAGTCATGTACCTTTTTGGTTTCAGAGAAAAGCTTAAAAATGTGGGATATGTCCTGAAGTCTCAGAACTAAGAAGCAAATATGAGAACATTTTTAAATTTTAATGATAATTTCATGATTTTGAGATTCAGCTTGTAAGTTGCACAGACCAAACATCTAAGTGAGCCTCATGATACACATGATACTACTAAGTACTTGCGTGTTTTCTGAGTTACGAGTTTAACAATAGGTCACACACAGAATTTGCACACTGTTTTTCTACAGTAATCTTTTCCTTTTTCTTCTAGGTTGAGAATAGGCTTCCTGACCGGTCCAAAGCCTCTGATCGACAGAGTCGTCCTGCACATCCAAGTATCAACGATGCACGCCAGCACCTTCACACAGGCAAGTCCCAGCTGCCACCCACGCTCTACCTGGAAAAGGCACCGGATCCCAGCCCATAGCCAGCAATGCTGGGAAGCTTTTCAGTATTCAGGCTTATTTTCAGTAAGGCTGCTGCTCCTAGAGACCATGCATGCAGCTTCTTGCCCTTGGGGAAATCTCACTAACATTCATGTCTATGACTTCATGTGACAATTGAGGAAGTGTCTTATTTACAATACAGTATTGACTGTGTGTTTCATTTCTTTAGATTATGATATTACAGCTTCTTCAGCAATGGGGAGAGAAGGGTTTCTTGGAGCATATAGACAGGTAGGATCATGTCATATGCCAAATCCCCTCACCTATCAGTTTGCATGCCCTCTGTATTTTGTTACTCACAACAAGCACCCTTTGCAATAAGCAGGTCAGAGAAGCAGCATCAGTTTGAAGGAGACATCTGAGTACTATTAGACCAAATGGATTAGTAGGGTCACCAGGAGACTCAGAGCATATGAGGTGTCACTGCAGATTGTCAATGTGCCAGTCCTGTCAGACAGTGACTATGCAACTCTCATTTGAAAAGGGCCCAAGGGAGCCTGGCCTCACCATCTACAGCTCAGCAAGTGTAGGTTCATCCTTCAAGAAGGGTTAAGGTTAGAGCAAAGAATGTGACAACCAAACCCATAAAGTGAAATCCTCCCTCACTAACTTGGCAGAAATTTACCCTCTAACACCCCTAATGCAATTGCCATGCAAGCTGGAGAAATACAGGGAGAACGAATTACAGAAAGCAGCCAAGACCACCTGCTGTCCCTGATCATCGCTTTTATCCACTGCCACTCTTACAGACTCAATCCCAGGCTAAGACTTAATCCCTGCTATACTAGTCTGACCCCGCAAGGCATTTTTTTTTATATAGTGACCAACCCATATTTGCATTTCATTGGCTACTCTAGAGAAGCATAGTTTCCCCTGAGTATTTACAATTCATTTCTAAGGAATCACTGGAGTTGCAAGCCTCTCACATTATTGGGCAGCATGTCTTGCTTTTACAGGAGCATGACAAAAGCATAAGAAAAATTATTGTATTTGACTTTAACAGCCACTTTTATCCCAAACCACCGGCCTACTGTCTCTATCATAAGCATCATTATCTGAAAGAAAAAAAAATGCAGGAGCCTTGGCTTTAGTTTGTTTTAGGTATCACAGGATACACACACAAAAAAAAACAGGACTAAGGATAGATATTGCAGAGGAGCTCAGACCACACATTAGCTCATCTTTGAGCAATTAGAGAAATAAACCCTCAGTGAAACTCTTAAGCTTACCTTATGTTACTTGCAGGCAAGAATCTCTATTCTCTAGTCAAAGGCACTTTTTTCCTACTGAGCACAAGGAAAATAAGGCAGCAGGGGCCTCTCTCCAAGCCTTTATAACCTTCTAGGCTCCTTTGTCATGTATCTTAGTGATGAGGCTCAACTGGTAACTACAACCAGGTGATTTCAATGATGGGCAAGGTTGGTTTATTGGTCTGGGCCTCGAAAGAGGATCTAGTGTAATGTTTGGGGCATGTGCAATCCTGTGAAAGTCCTGCCTCTCTGAGACTTATGATTTCATTCCATCATGAAAATAAAAGGACACCAGCAAAGGCAAAAAAAATCACAAGGGAATTTGTGGTGTGGTGAAACCATGAAAATATTTTATCATTTCATGCAGGTAACTGCCAGAGTAGTAGACTATATTAGCTTTTGAAAGGGTTAGCATTTGCCTATGAATTACTTACAATATATGCAGAAATAAAAGCTACTCATTCAGTGAATGTCAAAAAAAAAAAAAGAAAAAAAGGAAGCTTGTAACTGTGAAATTATCCAACCTGCTAAATATGGTATCTCTATAAAGAAGAGAACACTTTTGCCTGAAACAGTTATCAAGTCCACCCCAGGCACTTCTGAACCTGCTGCACTTGCTCTTGACACTTCAGAATCCAAGCCGTATCCATTTATGTCAACACAAGTAGTCACTGCACAAGATTAGCTCTTGTTCGCACTTGGGTTATGCTCTGTTCTTTGTGCCACTATGACATTGAATTATTTGGAAGTTTTGCTTAAATTGTGAGGGAGATAGATAGGTTCAAAGGTTTAGAACAGAGGAAGCTGTCAGATGGTCATGACAGGTTTATCAAATGATTCGTTTACTTTGTGAAATATCTTTTCCATATAGCCCCACTACAAAATTTCAATCCAAGTGCATAAATACTGAGTATGTGCTTTTGCACACATGTAAGTCTTTCATCTTCTTCTGTATGCCTGTTCTGACTCGGATGTTCTGATAGCAAGGCTTGTGTCCACTGATAAGACAGACAGAAACAGAAAGAACAAGAGGTACAGAGAGCTGATAGTGTGCTTCCCATTGCATAAGGAAGGCTTAGGAAAACAGGTGCAAAAGCAATTCCTCTCACTGGAGACACAGTGAAGCATTCAGGACTTGCTGGATACATAAAAAGCTTCATAGGCCCCGTAAATTGTGCCCATTTTGGATGTGCTCTGCTTTCCACTGAATGTTCACCCTGGTTGTTCAAGTACAAAAGTTTTGTTCCCCCCTTTGAGAACAAGGGAAACCTCTAGTGTTACGGGGCTGTGACTTTGAACATTTGCTTTCAGGGTGGTGGAGTTCTACAGAACCCAGCGGGATGCCATGCTCATTGCTGCTGACAAGTGGCTAAAAGGTCAGTGTGTCCAACACAGCTAATTCCTTACATTTTTTTCATAGCTGTTTATCATCTTCATATTCAAGAAAAAAAATCACTGTAAATTTCATCTCCTGGCTGAAGTGATAGCTAAGCAGTATAAGCAAACCAATGGCATTTAATATTAAGCTTAGGACAAATTATTTAGTGACATTATCTGAAACAGAACAAAGAGACAGCAGTGAGAAAAAGTCCGTTACATTACTGTATAAAGCAGTTTTACAAAAGACATATATTCTGATCCTCTGTGTACCCAAACTTGTTTTGTTTAAAATCTCTGGCTTCAAAATTTTTGTGTGAAATAGCCAGTTTCAGTGTACTCAATTTAAAATAATACATAAATGATATGTATAATAGCAATGATAATCTTTTTTTTTTCTTTTTTTTTTTCAAAAATTATTTTCAGATGTCCTGTTCACAGTTAATGGCAGAGCACTGAAAGAATCTCATCAACAGTTCTTGGTGTCCCTCCTTTTAGTTAGTCTAAGGTGGAATCAACAATAACTTATTTATGAACTGACCACCTACCTATTGGGGTAGGGGTACTTGTGCACCACACAATCTTTAAGGTACTTAGTTTTGCTAATTCCAGATTTTTATGTAAGAAACATTTCGTCTTTCTCTGCATGATTCTAAGTGACTAGTGATTTAGGCTCTCTTTGCCTCGGTTCCCCAAGTATGAAAAGAATATAGTAGCACTGGGCTATCTTAAGGTGGACTGTGAGAATATATTGTGAGTTCATTTCAGCAACAAATTCAGAAGCTCACTGAATCTGTAATGCACTGATTACAGATGGGACAGGTTTTTTTCTCTTGATTCCTCTCTTTTCTCTCTCCCCAGGCGTGGCGGAATGGTATCCCCCTGCTGCAGGAATGTTCTTATGGATCAAAATTAAGGGAATTGCTGACACACAGCAGCTGATCATGGAAAAAGCTTTGCAGAAAGAAGTATGAACTATGACTTAATGGCTTCTGATGTTAAAATGGAATGAGGAAAAAATTGTCCAGCTCTGTGCCCATTATATGTGCATTTATGAAAAAGGGGGAGCTTGCTGTGCATAATCACTAAGTCTGCCAGTTTCTTTTCAGGATATTGCCACATAGTGTAGTGACTCACTAATGAAATACTTTCGTGCTTGTATTCAAATATTGGTATTTGCTTAAGCTAATCCCACTTTATGTAATATATAGTATAATATATTTGATTTACACACACACAACCAATGAAGGCTGTCCACTGTATCTCTTTAGTAGGATAAATTAAATGTGATTTTATTTTCACAGTTCGTAAGAGTCAACACTGTCTCCTGCTACATTGCACTCAGAGGTGCCATGCAGTGATAAGCTAGACCTAGAGCTATCCTGTGGTTTTTACAGACTCCTTTGGTTTTGTTAGGAGAATCTTGATTTCAGGGTTTGTATTTTTGGCTTCTATTTTTGAGTAGATAAAATATTCTAAAAAAAAAAAAGTTAGAAATAAGTCTTCTCAGATTTAATTTAACATTGTATAAAGGAATGTTTATAACTGAATGATTAATCATTTTTTCTTAGGTGTTACTAGTTCCCGGAGGAGCATTCAATATTGATATTTCAGAGCCTAGTTCTTATGTCAGAGCCTCCTTCTCTCTGCCTTCTCCAGCCCAGATGGATCAAGTAAGTGAGAGGAGGATTTTCTACATTCTTCTGAAGAACAGTTTCTCACATAACAATGCTCCGATATTTTCACGTACTTCTCATTATGTGATTTTAGTCTGTTAGTGTACAGTGTTTGGTAATCTTGGGCAATAAGCAGTACTCTTGAGGCAGTAATAGCTGCTGCTTAGGCGAGATACTCATATTCAACTGACCTGAAAGGAACCACATTTTTAGGACCACAAAATATTTTGTGTCCCATGCTGGTTGATTTTCTGGCACTTAACCATGACAAAAATTATTCCAAACACTTCACTGAAATCAGACTAAGTGCTGCTAGGTGCTTTACCATTAGCAGGAGCAGATACTATGTATCTTTCTTTTCCAAACTTTCCATTCCTCAAATGGGACAACTTGTATTTCTTTTTATGTGTGCGTCTTGCCAGTCCTTATTAAAAAGGAATACTGTTTTTTCTTTCATAGAGGACACATACGTCCTGTATTTTATGCCTTGGGAACTAATCTGTTTGTTTTAGGAATGTTTTGGCCAGTATTTGACTATATCAGTAAAGTCACAGAGAAAAACCATATGAGGCAGTTATCTGTGCAGATAGTGTGCCCCTTCGAGTCAGGCTCTTAAATATATTCACTATTTTTAGCTGCACTTTCATTCAGTTGTGAAGGTTTGTAACAGAAGTGGGTTTCTGTTGCCTATTTCTTCTATAATTACTATAATAAATTCATTACTATACTATTGACATTCAAGCTGTATCTTGCTGGAATGGTGCTTTTTTGTTCCCTCCCTCAACTATTCTTCCTTGTAGCTTTGAAAATTCCAGCCCCTTATATTGATGTACAGTTATAAGAAATACTCTTCCAGGGCTCATTAATTGCTTTAAAAATGCAGCTCTTATGTTGCCTCTGAACTCTGGATAACCTCTGAACATCACTATATGTATTCTGTTTCAGAAAACTCTACCTTTTCATATTTATTAGAGGAGTATAAGTTCAGTCTATCTGCAGTATGATTAAAAGCCCATACAAGTTGTTAAAAACAACTAAGTAAACCAGCAAATACCAGCAGAATTTAAAATATTGTGTTCATCTATGTTTAGGGTAGTTTTATTAGTTTTGTAGATGAAGTATATTGCCTATTTAAGTCATGCTGGAATATAAATGCGAACCATCTTTGTGTCATTGCAGGCTTTCGAGAGACTGGCTGGCCTTATAAAAGAAGCTGTATGAAAAGGCTCTTTCAGCAATCCGATTGATTCCCAGAAAGCATTTATTAACATTAGGTTTCATCAGAACACTAAAAAGGAAGCAGGCTACATTAGACATTCCCTTAGGCTGTACCAGTGCTTGGTTTCCAAACTTAGATAATCATCATGCAAAAAAGGGTTCGCAGAGAACATACGCATGGATATTTTAATGATTACCATATACAACTTTTTGTGTCAGTAATACCATACAAAAAAAAAATAGAGCACTCTCAAGATGTCAGTATGAGTACTGAATGTTTTAATAACCATGCAGTGAGAAATAGTCATCATTGAGGTGTGGTTTCCACAGTTTATTTTTCTAAAATAACAGTGAATGTATACAAGTAGTTTCTTTTTATTTTGGCGTCAGTAGATTTTTTCATGAAGAAAGGACACTACTTTTATACATTAGCTACATTCAAGTAATTGAATTGATCTCAAGTATTTAATTAAGCTAACAGAAGTCATAGAATCATAGAATGCTGAAGGTTGGCAGGGACCTCTCGAGGTCATCTAGTCCAACCCCCTGCACACGCAGGGTCACCTAGAGCACGTGGCACAGGACTGCGTCCAAGCGGGTTTGAAGATCTCCAGAGAAGGAGACTCCACAACCTCTCTGGGCAGCCTGTTCCAGTGCTCTGTCACCCTCACTGTCAAGAATCTTTTCCTTAAGTTCCTGTGGAACTTTTGGTGTTTCAGTTTCCGGCTGTTTCCTCTAGTTCTGTCGGTGGCCACCAGTGAAAAGAGGCCGGCCCCATCCTCCTCACTGCCTCCCTTGAGGTACTTATAGACACTGATTAGATCCCCTCTCAGCCTTCTCTTCTCCAGCTGAACAGGCCCAGCTCCCTCAGCCTCTCCTCATAGGGCAGATGTTCCAGGCCCCTGATCATCCTTGTAGCCCTGCGCTGGACTCTCTCCAGCAGCTCCACATCCCTCTTGTCCTGTGGGGCCCAGAACTGGACACAATACTCCAGATGTGGCCTCACCAGGGCTGAGTAAAGTCAAGTCTCTCAGGAACACAATTAGAATCATTTGATTTGGCTGTAAGTTGTGGCAAATTTATTTAAATTTACACATATTTGCATTAAGAGTGAAAAACTATTTGATTTAGCTTTTTGACAGGAGTTTGCATTACTAGATTTATTCCACTTTAAAAGTTCTAAAAATATTCAAAAGCAAAATGTTCTTTCCAGTTGATCCGTAGTTTTGTTTGAACTGATCTTTTGCTGCGTCTTGGGCTTTTGTTTTGTTTCCTGTTTTGGCCAGGAAAGAGAGGAGTCAGGTACTTAGGGAGCTGTGCCTGAGATCATCTGAGCCACTGGTTTTTAATCCTGAGTGATATATTCCTCTGGCACCTTATGCTCGATTTGTTTGTGTGTGTGTCACTTTCCTTCTTGTCCTACTGCCTTTTTGGCCTCTGGGTTTTAAGATCTGAAGATCAATATTTAGTTTTACTAAAGTTTTACTAGCTTTGTAAGGTCAAACTGAGGTAAGGACATGAAAAATCTGAACCTGATCCAGCAAAATTAGGCTGTGATTACAGCTAAAATCATTTGACCTAATATTCCTTGCAATTTGCATAGGTTTTGCAGCTTATTTCCCAGTTTTTAAAAGGTTTTCTGGTTGCTGGCTTCCATTTCAGTCTGTGAATAATTATTCTGTGCCTGTGTCAGAAAACCTCTGGAATGCCAGGGCATGCGTATGTGCTAGTAGAACTGCTCGCTGCTGCCTTAGCTAAGCATAGACTTTTGGGGAACGGGAAGCCCGACTAACTGAACAGAGGATGTAGTGCAACCGACAGTGACCCTCTCGAAAGTACGAAGCAAGCAAAAAATAAAATTAAAAATACTGTTCCACTCTCTAAGCCCTTGTTTTTATTGTCCCGAGTACCGGACGCTTGCCACAGGCCTCCTGCAGCCCGTTCTCCCGCTCCAGCCCCGCGCCGGCAGCCCGTGGCGCACGTGGTGCTCCCACCGTCTCCCCAAGGCCCTTGAGAAAAACCAAACTGACATTCTTCAAACTGACATTCTTCACACTTCGATGGTGCCAGTGGAGTCCAAACACCGGGCCCTCCGCACGCTGATGCTTACCAGCTAATTCGCTGTTTTTCAAACTTGTTTCTTAATTATATGTAGTAATTTCAAAAGCTCAGATTTTGCTATCATCAGTAAAAACATGAACTTTCATTTCACGCTCAATTCAGAAAAAAAGCGTACAACAGAATAAGTTGACATAACTGTTTAATTAAAATAATATAGTTCTTATGCTTTACAGAGGAATATATGTATTATACAAGGCTGATCTGTGTTCTTGGGCAAATAGTGTCATCATTTTTAAACTAGACTTAGAATTAGAAAAATGTAATCAAAGCATCATCATTAAGCAAGCTGTATGATAGTGATGTGTTGAATAATACGCTTCTGTTGAATAATACACTTAGCTTTCAAACAACTAAACGTCAATTTAGCTGAATATAAGCAAAATGCAGTTCCACTTGCTGCACATTAGATCCTCGTACAAACTGGTAATTTAATTTAGAGTTACATCTTTTTTCCCCTGACTGTTGTGAAACATCTGCAATGAAATTAATTTCCTGAACAATACAAATTGAACAATGACAGGAGACTCTTATTGAAAATACTCTTTTTTTCTGAATGTCTTAAAGAGCAGTTTTAGTCACCTGCGACAGAGCATTCATTGAAGTTAAGCGTTGCTGCAGGAAGCTGTCTGGAGACAAAAGGAAAATGCCAAACAACAGCGCCAGGTAGATAAGAAATGATGGGCAGAGTGCCATTTTCCCCTCTTTTTTGAGCTCTCCCAAACCAAAAAGGCTCTTTTGTTCATAGCCATGTGATGCACGTGGCACAGCCTCCATGTGGGGACGAGAGGGAGAAAGGAGAGGTCTCCGGGAGCAGCTCTCCAGCGCTGCAGCAGTGTTTCCAGCAGGGAGTACTGCAGTGAGCAGCAGCGTCCAAACACTCGTTCCCGAGTGGCTCAGGACTTTATTCTGTATTTTAAGTGTTCTGGTTTACAGATGTGTGTTTTTTTCAATTTTGCCATTGAAATCTGGATCCCGATACAGAGGGTAAATATCAGAAGTGCACTGAACTATGAGCACTCATGTTCCAATATCTGTATGGCTACGTAAAACTCACATATTACCATGGAAGTAGGATGAAGATCTTGCTGATTCTCTTTCAGAATTAATAGCCCAGAAATTTGCTGACAGATCTGACTGGTGCCAGAAGATCCTGTTAGCTGTACAGAACTGGGAGGATACTTCAAAATCATATGTGTTATATATTTTTTTCAACATAACCTCAAGTCAGACTTTGCTATTGCAAATAAATGTGTCCTGATGTGACCTGGAAACTATTCATGTGAAGATATTTCCATTTCTTGGCTTATGAATAACTTGGTACAGTATCTTTCTCTATGTTTGGCTAGTGCTGAGCTTTGAAGGTAAAAGGTTTGTCAGAGTTGTTTGCACTTTCCCCCCAGACAAATCACTCATTAACAGAGGCAGAATGTCTGGCCCAGGGGTTCAGCTCCCACGTTTGGGATGCTGAAACTTTTAGCCAGGTGCAGCTTGGCACCCCAGCCCTAAAATCCCTCCGCTATCCAGCTATGTGAGCAGACAGGAACGGCCGTGTTCTCCGAGCGCATCGTGCACGGTGCGCAGTCTGCGTGGCCCCGCGCTGCGGCGAGAACGGCCGAGGACCAGGGGGAACATGTCCTGAAACACGGGTGGGCAGGAGCCCTGGAGAAAGGAGCATCTCTCCCAGGAAAGAGAATTACAACTGTCTAGAGCTCGAGTCTATAAAATCTAGCTGTACTTTTTGCAGAAAGGAGAAGTCTTCCTTGTCTTTTTGTGCGTGCGTACGCGTGGTTTTGGCAATCTCATAGCAGAGTTTTTACTCAGAAATAGGACTGGTGAGATGAACACAAAACAATTTATAGAACCAGGGTAAAACTCAAAGAGAAGAATACTGATTTTGCACGTTGCAGGTGTTAGAAAACATGGCAGTCTCTGCAGCCTGCAGCCATTTCTCAGTTTCCCCAGTGGCTGCGTATAGAGAGAGCAATAAAACAGAAACAGCCCCAGGAACAATAAGCTTGAACAGCGCTGGTTCTTTCCCACTGTCACTGGTGGTGCTACCTCCTCCCCATCAGTGTGCTAAGGGGATATGGAAAAAAAAATGCAAAGCCTAGAAAAACAGTTTCTTATCAGAAAATTTCCTTTTTGCTTTGCAAGATTTGGATTTTCTTAGGATGGACAATGACCTATATTATTTTCTTCAGTGTGAATAGTTAAGTATTTGCTTGTATTTTTTAGTATTCCAGTCATGAACACTTCCTTTCACAAGGAGCAATATATTTTCCATCTGTCCCAGTTTAAATATGTAAATAGTCAGACATATTGAAAGAATGCTTTGTTTTTAATACTTCTTTGGCAGATAGAGGCCATCCAGGCTGTCATTCACCAGTGGTAGAATTTGAGCTCACAAAACCCTTTTTTGCAAGACTGAAACTCTTTGTTTTTTTTAATTGCATGCATGTACACTCAAGAGCTGCTTAAACTCCTTGGTGTTTACATGTGGAAAATACAAACGCTGGCTGGAGAAGAGCGCGTGCTGAGCCTGCGCGGCTGCCTCCACAGCTCTGCTGCTTCCTACATCCCGGGCAGTGCCCTGGCCATGGGGATGTCTGTCCTCTACTCTTTAACATTCCTTGTTGCACGAGTGTTTTAATGCCAGAATAAAGCAAACCTGCAGCTCCGTAGTAGGAATGAGCCGAGGAGCAGTACGTGACTAAACAGGATTAATAGCACCTTCCTTCTTGCTTGCATGCAATTTGCCTTCCGCAGTGTTTCAGGGGGCAACACTGATTTTGACAATGCAAAGTTCTAGTGGGATCAAGTATTATTCTTATTTTAGCTCTTCTACAAATGACTACAGAGTGACCTGCTACTGGTAATACTTT